ATGTGTACATAAGTTGCAACAGCAAATGCTATTAGCATTACCAATTGTTTTCAGTCCTGTACCCAGAGAGGTGCTACAAGCCTTGTGAGCACTTGGCCCTGGGTGTTTCCAGCCTGGAAGTCAACTCTCTGGATTGGTGTTACTCTTACCCTTTGGAAGCAGCAAAACACCTCCAAAAGACAAAATATCCCAGTGAGGAAAAATCCCAGTGAAGTCCCCAAGGGTCTAGTGCCCACGTTATCAGATGGAGACCCAAAGCTGAAATGAAAGTCTGCATTTATTTTTTCTTATTCTCCAGCTTAAATAGAAGCAATAAAGAAATCTGACCCTGAAAGTGCTGACTTACTAGAATTTGTGCTTTAGTACCTCACATTTGCCTCCACGCTGTTCACTGCTCCGTTGCAGTAAGTTCTGTATGTGCATATGACACACCTGCTTGCTCTTTCTAGTATCTCCTGCAAGGGCTTGCAGGAAGACAAGACCGAGAAGACAGACATTGCTCAAGGGAAGAAGTGTCCCATTTTACAGATAGGGAACTGTGATACAGACTGATGCATTTCTAAGTAGCTTTCAGGTATTTGCATACTTGCTCAAAACATCTGTGACTTTAGGTTTTACAAGGCTTTTCAGGACTTTGTACATTGTACAACACACTTTTCCCACAGTATCTCTCTTCTCTTTGATTCTTCATCTCCCTCAAGAAGATGTTTCAAGACAGACCTTTGAACATACAGGGGGTGCTTTGTGATCGTGGGCTGAACTGTGCGGGCCCTGTCACAGGTTGAGGCTGCCGAACAGGACGGATCGTTTCATGGCCTACTGAGAAGGCTGATTTTGAGGTTGCTCGTGTAGACAATATTCATGTCATGTTCTGTGAATTTTTACCACATAGCTTATCATCTCTCCTCGGCAGACTTTCCATCTGTCTGCAAGGCTGGTTTTTGCTTCTTTATCTCTGAGCATTACAGGACGGAGTGAAAGAGTAAACCCCTAGAAGTTGTGAGTGATCTGAATTACAACGGTGAGACATAATGAATTGAGAGTCCTACTCTTTCCTACCAGGATATTAGTATTAATTTACTTTGGGATAACAGATTTCTCTTTCTATGGTTCACATGGTTGCGTGTCCTGCGGCCGGGCGGCAACCCTGGAGCACACAGAGCATCAGAAGCGCCCTCTCCTGTACAAAGGTTGATTGTGCAGGGGAAAGTGGGGTGCAAGCCACCTCGGGAGGCACTGGAAGAGATGGTGAGGACTGGAAAGTGTCCACGTCTCTACACACTGGTTGCAGAAGACATGCTGGGAGATCCAGCTTTTGGGGATGCTGCCACCTGTATGTTTCCCTGCATACCAAAACCTGATTGCCTCTCTTTGATGCAATCTCCTTTTGAAGTAAAAATTAATAGTGGACATGAAAGCATTTCTTAGACAGGAATAGAGTTTTATAAGTGAGTTACCACAAACAATGACTTAAAAAATATGGTATTTAGAAATAAAATTGCTGAGTAAACAAAACCAATCATATATATTGTCTGCAAAAACTAGTTTGGCCAGCTCTAGTTCAGAGCCAGAAATTATTCACTTCATGCTTCAGAGTCATACCTAAAATAACCAGCAATCTACTTATCTCCCAGGCACGTCGTGAATGTCTAAGACACATGTAAAAATAAAGTCATGTTTTATTTATGAAGTAGCCCACCTTCTTTAAGTCAAATTATGGGAGTTACACCTGAGTAAAAACTGAACACAAAACAGAATGAAATTTTCAAATCTCACCCCACTGACACTGGTGAGTGACTTAGATGCGCTGAGTCATACATATGGAGACTTGGCTGTCTAAAGATCAATTTGGGAAGCACGTCTTGGGTTTGGTTCTGTAGTCTCCCCAGGCCATCTTGTAGCTTAAGCTTAGTTGAAGAAGTTGAGGGACAGATCCAAATAGCTGGGCTGAGAACTGCAGATCTGATGTAGTAGGTGAACCTTTCTTCACAGCACCAAGCAGTCTCTGCAGGCTCATGGGTACTGTCCCTGCAGGAGGAAGGGATGGAAAGATCCCCAGTCGATCCACCCTTCAGACCTGTGGTCTGTTTAGCTTGGAGAAGAGGAGGCTGAGGGGTGATCTTATCAGTGCTTATCAATACCTAAAGGGTGGGTGTCAGGAGGATGGGGCCAGGCTCTTCTCAGTGGTGTCCAGTGATAGGACTGGGGCAATGGCCATAAACGGGAAAACAGAAGGTTCAACCTGACCATGAGGAAACCCTTCTTCACTGTGAGAGTGACAGAGCCCTGGAACAGGCTGCCCAGAGAGGCGGTGGAGTCTCCTGCCCTGGAGACTTTCCAAAGCTGCCTGGACTTGTTCCTGTGTGAGCTACTTCGGGTGATCCTGCTCTGGCAGGGGGGTCGGACTAGATGGTCTCTAGAGGTCACTTCCAACCTTGACCGCTGTGAGACTGGTCTGTGTGACTGTGACCTGAGTAGTGTCCTTTGCTGTGTCTCTAGCAAGTGTCCCAGCGCTCAGACCCCTGCTTTGCCGTCTGGCACAGTCACTGTGTGACAAAAGAGGTTGCATGCTTCCATTTATCACGGGAGAAACAGTCGGTTTATCTGATGGGATGTTCTAACACATGGAAATAGCACTTCTTCATGTCCTCACTCAGATGTAAAGCTGCTTTTCTGTTTATCCAAAGAAGTCAGGATTTGCAGTTTTCCCATGTAGATACATTGCTTGGTACCTGGCCCTTAATCCCTTCAGTAATCTGTCACAGGATATTGTAGTTTAGAAAGCACTGTGGAAATCATCTAGGTTATCTTCAACATTAGATCAGGCTGCACAGGGCTTTGTCACCCCTAAGGCTTTTATTTCAGAGTGCATCTGAACAAAGAAGCTCCAAAGATTTCATTAAAAGAAGATGCATAGCAATATAGAACAGCATGTAAATTAGGCAAAGCAAAAGAACTACACATGTTGCACTGCATGCTGCTAGTCCCTCCCCCCACCCCCCCAACCCCCCTGCACCTACAGCACTGGGCTCCAATACTGGTTGCTCTGAAGACACTCCCTTTTTATCAGAGAAAAAGCATTACAGAGATTTCAAAATTCATAGATGTGAATACCTAATTTGCATCCATTTCAGTCAGTTCAAAAGTCTGTATCTTTGGTTTCTTCTAAATTCACTGATATCATTAATCAGAGTTTTACATTTAAACTATGAAAATCTTGAGGTTGGGGCAGTTTGCATATGCTTCTTCAGAGATTAATCAACAGTGTTCTGGCTGACTGGGGCTGTTATGAGCAATGCCTGCTGCTGGTTTTTTAGTAATGGAAAGTTTGATTTTCAGCAAAGTTACAGATATTCAGCACTTTGCAGGTCTTTTCTTGATACCTTAGAGAGTTTGATCTCTGAGAAGCATGTGAAAATAGAAAACCACAGTTCCTTAATTAGCATCACAGCAGAATTTCACTTTTTTCTACTAAACAATCTCCTGTTCAATTCAGTTATGTGAATTACTTTAAAGAACACAAGCATTTAATAGATAGATGCTAGAGGAGTCATTAAATAACACAAAAATTAAATATGTCATAAATACAATAACTTGAGGAAATGTCATTTTGGCACAAAGTTCCTTTGAAAAAGTGTACAAGAATAAAGCATAATATACAGAAATGCCTATGACAATTTGAAAACATGAACAAGTATTGTATTCACATTAACACTGGATGATGTTTGTTCAATTCAGAAATGTGAACATTAATAACAGTTTAAAAATACTGCAGAAATACAACATTACAGATGAAACAGAATGCCATTGTGAAACATTTTACGACTTGTAGACAAATAAAGATCCAAACGATTCACGATCTTTGTTTTACCTTGATCACATAAAAATATAAAGAAGCTGTTTAGACATATTTTATCATTCTTATTTCTTAATTTCTGATTTGAAGGCACAGGAAACTGCCATCAACAATTTATTCATAGCAAAAGTGGCAACAGCAACAACAAAATCTGCCCCAGCATAGTCTCGTGTGTGCACCACCAGCGTGTCCGAGGGAGTTCCCACCTGGGGGAGACGGGGCTGTGTTCTCCGTGCTGCCAGCCCTTCCTTGTCAGTAAGGCACTTGACTCTTGTACAGCCTCCTGCACACTAACCGCCGGGTCGGTACCGAAAGGGAAGTGTTAGCTTTGTCAGACATGGAACACCAGTTCCACAAATGTTCGGAGGCAGCATAAAACCAGTCCACTGCATCGCTCAGAAATGTATACATTTTCTATATACTTCAGAGCATTCTGGGTTTAACTCCAAAACAAGTAAAATTTAGTACCTGTAAAGTGTCCAACATCAGAATTGCACATTTTAAGAATTTCACGACAGTGCAGGATGAGTGATCCAGTAGAAGTACTGTTGGTCTGTGTTATCAGGGCACTGTTTTGCCTTCTAGCTCTCCCAAGAATGTGCAAGGTAGATAAAGCTGCATACTGAAGTATTAGGAACATTTTCAAGGCTCTGGTTGAAAGACTTCCCCGTTTTTAATATTTTCCACTGGTTAACCACAAACGTTAACAACAGAATATGTGTATGAGAATCTGAACATGTACCTTCTCAGGAACTAAAAAAATTCGGCCATAAGAATGGGCATTGTTCTCCTCAGCAGGGATTACTTCTGTTCATCTCAGAAGATAAAACTGGTTCTGTATTCATATGACGAAAAGAGCCAGTCCAAAAACCAAGCTTTTAAGATTTCAGTTTGAGTCAAAGGAAATTACTTAGTTTATTCCACATGTCCTTAGCAAGGCAATACTTTCACTAGTGATACTGGTGGACAAACTTTATTGCAGGGGCTGAACAGAAAAAAGAAGCATCTCTCCTGTAGTGTCCTGAAGGAGTTGGTGGCCCACGCACCATGGCAAAACCTCTGACGGATGTCAGCATGTAAGTACTTGTGTGCTGCAGTCTGCGGCCCGCCGCTGGTGCTGGGAGCTTCTTATCTGTGTCGGCAGCTAACTGCCACCTTTTTGGTCTTCGCCAGTAGTACAGGTCTTCTGTATGTCAGACGGATCTGGTATTTCTTTGTTTTCTTCTCTGAGCCCTCCTTCCTGAGACTCTTTTGACACTTTCAGTTTCATGCTGTCAGACTTGTGATTCACGAATGAATTCATCCTGGATGAGTTCAGTCTCCATCTTCTCAGATTCCTATAAAAATCTTTTCTGACATTTTCACTAACCAGCACATAAATGATTGGATCGGCAATACTGTTTGCAGTGGCTAAACACAGAAACACTGTAAAAACCGAATATATGTCTTTTTCAAATGGACATGAGCAGTTTTGATGAAGCATAAAGTATATGGATCGTATTAGGAGCACCACATGGTAGGGAGCAAAGCAGATCAGGAAAATGACGATAATGGTGATAGCTAGGTACTTCACTTTGGCTTTTTGGTGACAATTCAAGCTGCTGCTGGTTTTTGTACTTTGGAAAATCTTGTAGTTTGTGAAAATGAGGATTGTGAAAGGTATGACAAATCCAAATAGGAATCTGGCAAAGCTGAAAGAAGCCAATTTTATGTCAAGAGGCAAAGTCTCAAAGCAGGTCTTATTGCTATGTTCCGGATTATCTTCCATGTAAAATACTGGAGTGTGGATTAATCCAACCACAGCAAAGAGGAAACACACTATTATGATTGCCTTTTTCTGTCCTCTTCTCCCTCTTGATTCCAGAGCATATATCAGCGCCACGTAACGATCCACAGAAATGCAGCACAAAAGCAGAATGCTGATGTATATGTTGCAGAAAAAGATGAATCCTGTTACTCTGCAAGCCTTTATGCCCATATTCCACTGGTGATCATTTTGCACATAGATAATCCAGAGGGGCAAGGTACTTAAATACATAAGCTCACACAGCGATAAACTGAAAATGTAGATGGCAATGACTTTATTCCTTCGGATTTGTACATACGTAAGCAGGGAAGTTAAGCAATTTGCTGGAAGGCCTATGGCAAAAACGATGCTGTAAACAGCAACCAGAAGTGTCTTGCTGTCTTTGTAGGGAATTTCTGTGCAAGTGGAGTTAGTATTTGTGTCTGTACAATTTTCCATTATTCTTTTTTCAGCTGGTGTTCCCTGAGAGTCAGAAAACAAGGTGGAAAGTTAGCATTTGCATCACTTCAAAATGTGTCAGTAAAGGTTATGGTCTCATAGGTGCCAATAGGAAATGTCAGAGAAACAAGTGGGATGCTTGCCTTGGGGAAGCATTTAAGACAGGCAAGTTTTCCAAGTCCTAATGGTCTCCTGTCGTTGCTCCTGGGACTCAGGTCTGATTTACTTTCAGGAAAAGGTGCCTTTCTTCATAAGGAATTTCTTGACTACAACATGCCTATTCACTACAACAGGGTATTGGGGACTGTCCAAATTCTTCACAGAGAGGGTGGTGAGGCAGTGGAACAGGTTGCCCAGAGATGTTGTGGATGCCCCATCCCTGGATGTCTTCAAGGCCAGGTTGGATGTGGCTTTGAGCAACCTAGTCTAGTGCAAGGTGTCCCTGCCCATGGCAGGGGGGTTGGAACTAGATGATCTTTAAGGTCCCTTCCAACCCAAACCATTCTATGATTCTATGATTCTATGATTCTAAACTGGGCTGCCTCATAAACAACAGAGCTGCAGATCAATTACTAAAATCACCTCCTGGAGGAAATCGAGAGCATTCGTCTTCAATTTTTTTTTTTTTTTACCCCCCGAACTGAGTGACAAAAAATGCAAACTGTGGAGATTTCAGAGGCAGACTTCCAAAAGAAGCTATGGTCAGTCAGATGAGGAAACCATCTGAAGTGGGTGGTAGTAGTTGTTGTGTCAGAGACTACCCAGCATACAGGAACCAGAATCTGGCCACTGATCTGTACCTCCACACTGTATTACAACATAGTGGTTTGGATCTAGCTAATTCATATGATTGACTAATTCATGCTTCTCCCTCCTCTGAATGAATAATTGCAGCTGAAGAACATAAACTTGTAGTATAACACCTACCATAGTAAGGCAGTGAAACTGCTTACTGCATCTGTTCAATGCCTCTGGGAAACAGCAGGAGATGAGGGCAGCTAGGGGAAGTAAACAAGACCAGAGAGAAGAATATACACACGTTTAAGACATGGAGGCAAAGAAATGTAATGCTCTTTGAACAGGAGTGGTTACAAAAAACTCCACCTTTCCAAGATGACCACGCACAAAAGCAGGCCTGGAATTTGGTTACTGTTAAGCAGTGCTAGGAGAAGCATTTGTCAGTCGCATGATGTTTTCCATGCAGGAGTCTTCTCCAAGTGAATAGAGGAATAGAGAGGTGAGTGACCCAAAATGGTATTCTGTGCCCTTAAAAATTGTACTTTGCTCTAGTTATGAGTTGAAGGTGTCCATTGTTTAGCATCCTTGATAAGAAGTCTTGTCTGGCCTAATCTTTTGGGCATTCTCTTGTGGGGTGGACACCTGCTCCAGGGAACAGCCAGCTAACTCCACAAGGAAGAGATGCATTGAGAAGTCGAGTCCCTTCAGACAGAGGAGGGGCATGAGCTTTCCTGGTCCACACCGTGCATGAGCAATTTCTTTATCCTTGAGTCCTTGCATGGGAGAAGGTGTCTTTTAGCAGCCTCAGAACATCTATTTGTTGCTTGTTTGGGCCCACCTCAAGCAGACCACGGGGAAGCAGTCTGCTCCTAGTGCAGTGGTATTGTCTCCTGCATCTCTGGAAGGGTGGACTAGCTGGTGGGGCCATTCTGCTCCCTCCGTGTGGGCAGAGCAGTCCCTGGGGTGGCACAGGCAGCACCTGCCATGCAAGATCCCTAGAGCTTGGAGGGCAATCAAGTCCCCTGAGTTAGCTTAGTTACCAGATGATGAAGAGTATGAGAAAATGGGCACAGGTTGCCGTAGGCTATGAGACCCTCACAGCAGCGCAGTGCTAGCCACAGCCATAAACACCAAGATAGGATCTCTTGGCCCATGCCTAGAGGTGTTTGTTTCCAGCGAGTACCTCAACACAGCCAGAGCCTGCCCAGTGACAGCAGCTTCTGAGGGACAATGTCCTGCCAAACGAGCAGATGGGGCAGAGGCAGCAGTACCTGCTGCCCCGTCCCTGGCAGCAGCGTAAGCTGTTCCCGGGGTTGGAGACTTTTGAACGCAGCCTCCACAGGCAGAGGAACTGAGATAGTGCCCTGTGTGTGTAAGAAGTACAACAGAAGGTGCGATCATGCTCTATGACTACCTTCCACCTCCCCCTACGGCAAACCATGCTCTGCTCGCGTGCTGACATGTTGATGAGGGTTAACAGGCAGCCCACTAACCACGCTAGTTGGACCAACGTGTTTTGCCAGGGACCTGTCTGAGAACTGGACTGTCTGGATGCTGGTGGGCATGTTGAAGCCCTCTCAAGGAGGATCTAAACTTTCCTTTAGTTTCAAATGTCCATCTTAAGAACGACTGGAGAAGAGGATCCTCACTGCTGTGTGGGGAAGACGGCATGGTACTCAGCAGGGCTGCTGCAAGGTTTCTGTGCGAGAGGATGTAAAATTACTTCCCTGCTTTCCTCGCAGTGAAAGAGTACTGGTAGTTGGTGTTAACTGAGAAAAATGATGGTTGCTGGTGGTGAGTTGACTTTTTTGCTGACTCTGGGCATTTCCCACCCTTGGTGAATGAGGTGGGGCCTTCTCTGGGTCATTGACCAAACCGCTGTGTAGAGGAGATAAAAACGGTGCTTGGTGTCAGGGTCATCAGTTCTCTGCCCAGACCTCACCTGGGATGTGTCATTAGACCTTGTCCTTGACCTAGACGCATCTGACCGATGTGAGAGCTGCTGTATACCTGTGCACCACAGAGAGACATCTCCTTCTAAGGTGAAGCACAGCAAGGGAATGCAACTTTTACGTGGGGGAGATGGCAGCAGCAGAGTTGGGGACGTGTCATAGTCACACACCATCTCAGTTACTCAGCAGCTGTCTACCCTACACGCCTTAGCAAAAACACCTTCAAGAGCAGCTGAAGGTGTGCTCTCCTCCCCCTTTCTCTAGGCTTTGCATACTTCCCTTGACCCTGTGTTTGTCTGAATATTCTCCTGTCTGCACTGCCTACGCCTGCTGTTCCCCAGAGGTACCTGTCTCACCAGCAAGCTGCCCATGATGGTGCAGGGCAGGAAGGAAGTGGTAGAAGAGTTGTTCTGTAGACACATGGCTCCCAATGTTTCTTTCTCTTGCCTCCGGCCTTCGCCTCCTCCTTTCCTGCTCTGCTCCAAGTCTCCTTCCCGTGCTTTGCACACCTCAGTGAGCCTCAGGAAGGAGATGCCTGTGACTTTTTAAGCTGCCTGCATGGGAAATGCTTTTTTTTCTTGGCTTTTGGTGTATGGCCTAAGCCACAAGGCCAAGGCTGAGCTGAAGAGACCTTCACCCTTAAATGACTGTCAGCTGCCAAGCGCAAAGCCTCAACTGTCACAGTGCGTAGACATGAATTTACATTTGTAGAGAAAAAACGTGATGAATGCTTCTCTTGAAGGTTCGGCCTGTCATCTCAGAAGCCTGGATCCTTCCTAGTAGTAATGGTCTATGTCTCAGCCCCATATCAGAGATGAGAAGAGGACATCCATTTACTCCCTTCCCTCCTCTTTCCTTGGCTCTCTGCTCTGTCCAGGGAAGAGTCTTTTGGCCCTGGCTACTGCATCCAGCCCCAGGTCTGAGCTTCACTTATCTCTGCTCAGCTCTCCAGGCCTGTAGAGGGATTTTCTCCTTGAACTGAAGATCAGAAAGAAGCACTCAGCAGACAATTTATGAAATTTCACCCAGTGACATTGCCCCTGTGCAATTGAATGCACATTTTTATCCTCTTCTCAGACCTTTAGAGTTTGTTGGTTTGATACTTGGCTCAGCCCAGAAGATTCCCAGTTCTGTCTTCTTCTGTGGTGGCTGAGCTGTGATGGATGTATACCCACATCTCTTGAATGTAGCATTCGTAATCGTACTGCTTTATCTAAAAGAGGCACCTGGTTACTTGTGAGCACCTTGTTGTTATCCTACACTGGTGCAGGACTGGAGCAGGCTAACCTGCATGTCAGATATTCATTCAAATAAAAAATAGTAATAATTACTTTCGGTTGAGCAAAGCCTGTCCAAAGTAGCTCTTCTCATCTTTCTGTGCCCTATCTTGTTCTGCTAGGCCTCACAAACCATTAGGAGGTGTTGCACAAAGTCCTGGCTGTGTTTTGCATGAACAGCTCACCGTATATTTAGCAGCATTCTGAGGCTTGTTGCTCTCTGAGACTCACTGAGTACGACAAACCGCAGTCAGCACGTGCAGTTTTCTCACCTTCAAGATGTGCAAAACATTTTGTCTTCCAGACAGAGGCACAACGTCTGGCTCATGAAGCACCTGAGCACAAATCACAGGAAGATGGGGTAATCCACAGAAGAAGATTAACTGTGTGTCTGCTCTGTATTCACACTCTTCCCTGAACATCTGCTCTTGGCCTTGGCTATAGCCACAACACTGGGGTAGGTAGGCCTAGCATTTCTAGTGTTGTTGTGTCATGTTCACAATTAGATAAATAGGTACTTACATTCCTTACTTCTAAAATGGAGTGTCTGCATGGTCTAGTGCATTGAGACCTTGTGGAGAGAAAATCCTGGAAAAGGGCAGGGCATCTGGAGATGCCCAAGTGAAAAATGGTTGTGGATGGAAGAGACATGACAGAGGTGAAATCCCATTTTCTTGGGGTGTGGAGAGAAAGCAGCAGTAGTGTCTTGCTGCAGACTGACCAAACAGGACTGTGAAACCAGGTTGAGATTGACTGCCCTTTCCTCACCTTCTTTTTGATCCAGTGCACCTTGTATTCCTCATGGCAGGTGGTCTGGATTGACCAGGAAGAGAGCAAGTTGCTCTTTCTTAGCCTTTCCTAGAAAGTGCAAGATTTCCAGTACCAGATTGGTGACTGGTCTAGAAATCAAGTCTTCCATCTTGTGGGCAGGGGGCAAAGCACTGCTCTTGTGCAGGACAGCCTGTGCCATGGCCATCTGTCCTGTCCCCTACTCAGCCTCAGGGAGCACGGAACTATCCTACAAAGGTGCCCC